CAAAAAGGGCGCCAAAAAGGCTCTGGGACCCGGTACAGCGGGCAGGGGAGACAGAAACGACAAGACCCAAACACCCCCGCAAGCAAAGTCATAGACCAGGAAGTAGAAAGGAATAGAAAAGGGGGGAACACCCCCAAGTGTGAGGAGGAAAGACCCCCCCCCCAGCCTGTCTGGAACCCTGAGCACAGAACCAAGTAAATACACAATAAACAGGTGCAAAAACAGTCGTTACAAGGTAAACCCAAAGGTTAAGTTAATACTAAAATACCCAGACAAATTATCACAAGTACACAAAACTAGTACAACCAAAGTCTCAAGAGACAAAATAAATGGTACTTAACTGACTGTGGAGCACCAAAGAAAGAGGTAATGTGTAGGGAGGTGCTGACTATTATACTGGGACATGGTATGATAGTGGCTTATCACTATATATTTTTTCTTACTGTTTTGTATTCTTTGCTGCTATTGGTGGACAGTAAAGAAAGGGATATGCAATATGAGCCTCCATGTCTTGTAATAAAATCAGCAAGTACACTTCATCAGGCCCGGACTGGCCATCGGGCAAACTGGGAAGATGCCCGGTGGGCCGCGATGGCCACGGGCAGAGGCCGGGGAGATCCAGCTAGTCTATGCAGGGCCGGCACTATCCAAGCGCCGGCCCCACTGTGTTCCATGAAGTGCTGGTGGGGAGATCAAAGATCTCCCTCACTGGCCCACATGCTCTCAAACGCGGCCACCGACGGGGAGAGAGGGAGACAGCCAGCCTGGAGAGAGGACCCGGCGGAGCTCTAACTTGCAGCTCCGCTGGGTTTCTTTCGCGAGATCCGGACCGTTGCTAAAGGGCTAGAGTTCACTTACCACGAGGACCACCAGGGATGGCTGGCAGCAGCACCACCCTCCCCCCCCCTCCCTTCCAGGCTACAGGTAAGAATGGAGGGGGGGATATAATGTATTTATTTTTCTAAAAAAAAAAGACATTAATACTGACATTTACCTGCCTCCCCCATACACAATCCTTGCAAACACACACATCACCCTAACACCAGCACCCTAACACACACACAGCACCCTAACACACGCACAGCACCCTCACCCAGCACCCTAACACACACAGCATCCTAACACCAGCACCCTAACATTGACACATCACCCTAACACACACACACATAACCCTAACACACACACACAGCACCCTAACACTCACACAGCACCCTAGCATTGACACATCACCCTAACACACACACACATCACCCTAACACACACACAGCGCCCTAACACACACACATAACCCTAACACACACACACATCACCCTAACACTCACACAGCACCCCCACACGCACACACAGCACCCTCCCACACACACTATACTCCTCACAAATGCACACTACACCCCTCACACACACAGCAGCCCCCAAACACGCTGCACCACTCACATACACACTCCCTAGATATCCTATACGCACTCCTGAGCCCTTCAAACACACACTAGATCCCCTACACACAGATGCTGCACCACTTACACACACACTACATTTCTGACATACACACTCAGGATCCCCTATGAACACACTAGAATCCATTTAAGCAAACACATAGTGTCTCCATAAATGGGATACAGTGAGTATTCCAATTATGGAAACCCCTGAGACAAGTTTCAAGCAAACACAACGCAAGTATGTTATTAAATTTGCTTGCGCTGTGCAGATCAAATACAGGGCCCTTTTCTCATGCCCTGGAAGAGCATTGAACCAACATGCTCACTTTGAGATGGGGCGTGCTTGTCATTGGGGATGACAAAACACACCCTATCTGGCCCCGCCCCCTTTTCAGTGGGCCGCTGTGAATAAAAAATGCCCGGGCCGAATTTTTTCCCCAGTCCGGCCCTGCACTTCATTCTGCAGCCCTCTGTCATCAATGGAGTTAAAGGGTATGATGTACTGGGGTCCTCAACTTTCAGGAGTTCACAGCTTCCTCTTTAGATCAATTAACTTTAACATGGCATCAGCACAAATGTCTGTAAACAAATATTACAAACACCAGGTTGCACCAATTTAAAAAAGACTAATAAATGAATTACTACTAGTAATTATTACTAGTAATCCCCTCCCAGGGATATAGTTTATACACTTAACCCTTAACCCCAAAAACATATAAAAAGAGTATAAATTTATCTTGAATCCAGCACGTGCAAAGCTGTCCATGAGCGTTTCCATGCCTTGCCGGGTGTCACGCTTCATCACTGTCTCCCTCTCCATGGTCCACTCCCATGCTTCTCATAGAGCAACATCTGAGTGGACCATTCTAGCTGGCTCAGAGCGCATGCATGGGATGCTAAAAAAACACGTAAGGAGGTGGGTCAGTTTGCTTTTTCTGTTCTGGACTCTAGATTGTTTACGTTGAACAATCAGACCTATAAAGACTTATCAGGCTCACGGTGGGGCTGTTTTGTAAAATATCAATAAATTGTGTGTCTCTTTTTACACCAGCCCCTTTGTGTTTTTCTTTCTACCCCAGCCCCTTTGTGTTTTTCTTTCTACCCCAGCTCCTTTGTGTTTTTCTTTCTACCCCAGCTCCTTTGTGTTTTTCTTTCTACCCCAGCTCCTTTGTGTGTCTCTTACTTCACTCAGTCCCTTTGTGTGTATCTTTCTCCCCCCAGCTTCTTTGTGTGTCTCTTTCTCTTCTTCCCTAGCCTTGCTCTGTGTGTTGCCCCTTCCTGCCCCTTTGTGTGTCTCTTTCTCCTCCAGCTCCTTTTGTGTGTCTCTTTCTCCCTATCCCAGCTTTTCTGTGTCTCTTCCCCCCAGTACGTTGTCTCTTTTGCCCCTTCCCCAGTCTCTTTGTGTCTCCTCAGCCCCTGTCGGTGTCTCTCCCCCAAACCCCTGTCTGTCTCTTTTGATTCTTCTCCCAGTCTCCCCCTGTTTCCCCCCCTTGCTTTGAGGTCTCTTCACCCATTTTGTGCCCGCTCACCTTCCTGTGCGTGGCACGGTACATTAGCTTCTTTATCCTCTACCTGACTGACAGGAAACTGTTCGGCGCTCTCTCTGAGCACTTCATGTCAGATTGCGTAGAGCATATAGAAACTCCTCTACCACGGTCTGTGACTCAGCCACACTACATGCAATGACCAGCAGGAGGGGAAGTGCTGTGCTGTGTGTCCCCTTCCTGCCTGTTAAACGGATCGTGCGTCATATGGTGATGTGAGTTGCTGAGGTTGGAGTGTCTAGGTAGCTAAACCATACCTCCCTGCAAGTTTTAAATGGACAAAGATGTACACTTTAAGTTTAGGAGTGTGAATGGAGGTGTGGCCAGGGGCGGGGCTGAGGAAATGTTAGGTGACTTACTAATAATAATGTATCCTATTTACACAGACTGATTTCTAAATGTATCTATTTACTGTAGTTTAAAGACACATTACTGGGAGTATTATTGCTGTGGAGCTCTGTTATATACTCAGACACATTACTGGGAGTATTATTGCTGTGGAGCTCTGTTATACACCCAGACACATTACTGGGAGTATTATTGCTGTGGAGCTCTGTTATACACTCAGACACATTACTGGGAGTATTATTGCTGTGGAGCTCTGTTATACACTCAGACACATTACTGGGAGTATTATTGCTGTGGAGCTCTGTTATACACTCAGACACATTACTGGGAGTATTATTGCTGTGGAGCTCTGTTATACACTCAGACACATTACTGGGAGTATTATTGCTGTGGAGCTCTGTTATACACTCAGACACATTACTGGGAGTATTATTGCTGTGGAGCTCTGTTATACACTCAGACACATTACTGGGAGTATTATTGCTGTGGAGCTCTGTTATACACTCAGACACATTACTGGGAGTATTATTACTGTGGAGCTCTGTTATACACTCAGACACATTACTGGGAGTATTATTGCTGTGGAGTTCTGTTATACACTCAGACACATTACTGGGAGTATTATTGCAGTGGAGCTCTGTTATACACTCAGACACATTACTGGGAGTATTATAGCTGTGGAGCTCTGTTATATACTCAGACACATTACTGGGAGTATTATTGCTGTGGAGCTCTGTTATACACTCAGACACATTACTGGGATTATTATTGCTGTGGAGCTCTGTTATACACTCAGACACATTACTGGGAGTATTATTGCTATGGAGCTCTGTTATACACTCAGACACATTACTGGGAGTATTATGGCTGTGGAGCTCTGTTATACACTCAGACACATTACTGGGAGTATTATTACTGTCGAGCTCTGTTATACACTCAGACACATTACTGGGAGTATTATTGCTGTGGAGCTCTGTTATACACTCAGACACATTACTGGGAGTATTATTGCTGTGGAGCTCTGTTATACACTCAGACACATTACTGGGAGTATTATTGCTGTGGAGCTCTGTTATACACTCAGACACATTACTGGGAGTATTATTGCTGTGGTGCTCTGTTATACACTCAGACACATTACTGGGAGTATTATTGCTGTGGAGCTCTGTTATACACTCAGACACATTACTGGGAGTATTATTGCTGTGGAGCTCTGTTATACACTCAGACACATTACTGGGAGTATTATTGCTGTGGAGCTCTGTTATACACTCAGACACATTACTGGGAGTATTATTGCTGTGGAGTTCTGTTATACACTCAGACACATCACTGGGAGTATTATTACTGTGGAGCTCTGTTACACACTCAGACACACCAACAATACCGAGCTCCTAGAAAAGAGGGACATTATGAGAGAAAAGAGGGACAGAGGGATTTGGGCCCAAAATAGGGACTGCTCCTCCTAACTAGGAACACACGGGAGGTATGGTAAACTGCTTATTGTACGTGCTGGGGGGTTCCAGTTACAGTCCAGCATGTAATATATTGTTATACAGTTCAATAGGTTACACTGCTGTATACATGGATCTTTTCTTTCTAGCTGTTAAAACCGGCTGCATATGGAGTAAATGAGTTAATAAAATGAAATCTGCTTTTAATGCTCTTTTGAGACACTGTGCTGATACTCAATTTGTGTTCTTCTTAATACGCTTCACGGGAAAAACATACAAACATAGCTGGCATGTTGGTTCCACCTGACTGTCACACAGTGACAGCTATAAGTCCCTGGTAACACAAAATACATCTGTACTGCCATCTGCAAGCTGAGCAAGTGATTCTTCTCTTCTCACTTATTCCTTTCCCTCCAGGATCGAAAATAATGTGCTACTCGGGAGCCACAAACATTGCAATGTGTTCCTGCTAGAACAGGCATTTCAGTAATCTGTTGCAGAAGAAGACGGTGGGTGGGCATTGTCACCAACAAGACCACTCCAGGCATACAAACGACTGAGTTCATTGAGTGCAAAGGTTAAAATAAATCACCATTCGTCTCTGTCAGACACAAAATAAACATACAAATCCGCTTATTAACATCACCCACACCTATTAATGTAATATAAAAGCTGCCAACACAAGGACTATTTAAAAGTGGGTTGCACTGGCAAAGTTGGATTAAAAATTCCAAAACACAAATTAATTTTTTAGAATCTACATAAAAACCCAGTACTGTTATACATGTCTCTATGGTAACGTGATTTGTATATCACACAAAGGCAGACCTTAATAAAAGAATATTTATTGCATACCTCCCAAGTGTCCTTATTTTGCTAACTGTCCTAGCGAAGAAACTGGGTTTTCCTTCCCAAGAGCTTTTGGTAAAAGAAATGATAAACAAATGTAACTCTGTCATGAAGTGAATGACAGAGTTTTAGGTTTCATTAGATATTATCTACACAATTTAAAGTAAATCTCTCTCCGAAAAACTTTAAACAAATGATTATTGCTATGTTTAAAACCTCTATTCCATTTCCAAGGTGTTAAGATACAGTCTGCATCAGATTTGTATTTATATCACCTCCCTTAGAGCATACGTCCCAAAATTAACCTGGTGACCCCCTCCTCTATGTCTTTTCTTTTTCAGTGCTTATTGCTTGATATTTAGAACCTGTGCTGAAATAATGAAAATATAGACAGATATGAAAGTTGTAACGGAACCGCTGGCACCCCGACCGGGTACCTTCCGCCGACGGATGCTCCTAGTGCTTTCCGAGGACTCCAAACACTCTGCCTGACACCATAACCACTGCAGACCCCACGAACCGCCGCAGCTTGGTTGGGGTCTCGCCGTCTCCACCCACTCTGGACCCAGGACCAGGGTCCAGCTTCCAGCAGGTCGACCTCTCTCCGAATTCCAGAGAGCAGGAACAGGAACAAGCTCTTAGCAGAGCTTAGTGATTATACCCTGGGAGTATAGTGATTATAGCAATCCCCAGAGTGTAGTTTCTCCAATCCCCCAAACATGAGCCGAAACTTCATGAAGGTACAAGATGATCTGACTCCAATGAGCGTTTATTACTCCTTATATACAAGTTTTCAGGTCAGAGGCACACCCCCTGGACCTGGTGGTAAACTGTGACAAAAGGGACACAAACCAATGGGAACACTAATTAACATGATAACACTCTCACATACACAATGAAATCCCTCCTCTCCATCCTGGAGATAATTGGCTTAAGGCACTGCAGTAAACTCAATTATCTCCAGGTACAGAAAATATCTACATTTAACACTAACAGCAAAATACGTAAAAGTACATAAAAAATACATAATTCTTATTTTATTACACAGAACCCCCACATTTAACCTATCCCCAGATAGCTCGGATCTGAGCGCCCAATCTAGGTGAACAGTGCTCAGATCCCATGAACAGAGTAGATTTTCCATGGGGTAAAGCATAGCAAGGGCTGTTGAGAAACCAAGGAGGGACAAAAGCAGTCAGTTCCAACTGGTTTGGCAGTGTGCCTGGGACAACGCCCTGCTGGAGAACAATAGACAGGAAACGGGGGAGGGGAAGAAACACACCTTCCCATGGATTCAAATGGGAAGAAACTGTCTTTAGAAGCCAATAAGCCCCAAATAGTCTTTTTAAATGGCAATACACCCCAGGGCCATAGTCATGAGGAAGGAGGCTGGCAATCAGGCTCCTCCAAAAGCCAGGAGCAAAGGGCAGCTTGTCACCTAACAATCCAGGGACAAAAGGCATTTCGTCACAAAAGTGCTTTATGTGTGCGTTTTAAAGGTAACCTACATCCCCCTGCTGTAACCGTGGCCTCTGTCCACCGCCTTGAATGTTGAAAAAGGCAAGTTAATTATATTTTTTTCGTACCTTGCAGTGGCCTGCTCCACCTCTTCTTTGTCAGTAAGCATGCTGCCGTCTTCTCGCCCAATCCAATGCTTCTGCGAGAGTAGCACAGGGAATGCGAATCATATGCGAGGTGAACTCCTTGCTCGTCCAATAAAATGCTTTTCATAGAAACGCATTAAATCATCATTTGACCTTATTCGTCTTCAAACCTGGCCATTTCTGTAGAAGACCATCACTAGAGGTGTGTTTAGCCCTGCAATGAAAGCGTTGCCATATCTACAAAACTTCAGGGGCCACTGCACCCAGACATTGCGATTAAGTGGTCTGGTTGCCTATAAGGTCCTATAATATGCAGGTAGGTTGAAATCTAGATTCAAAGAAACAAAAAAACTCTGTCTGTAGTAAGGTTTATGCTCTAATGTTTACTATAGTGCTTTTTCAACCTCTACTCGTGCACCACCCCATGACGGATCAAACATATCTCTATCCCTATTGGAATTTAAATGTGTTTGAAGCTTGTGAAATGTTACTGCACCTGAGGAAGACGAGTGTGTTCGTCGAAACGCGTTGTGCTTATGGTATCTACCTGTGAACAGCATCATTACAACTTTTATGTAAGAATTTTTATATTTTTTATGAATAAATGTGAATACTTGCTTTTGTAATTGGTGTGCCTGTTCTACATCATTCATTTTGAGGAACAAGCTTCACATAGAGGAATACCCTTTGGATTTTTCTTCTGCAAACACCATCACCCGAAAACAGACTGTCAGAAAAGGGTTATATCATTGAACCCCCCAGCATTTGATTCCTGGTTAACATCTGATCCTGTTTATATATTTGGGTACTTGTGTGTTTTTATTGGGGATATATACCTCCACAGTGCATGTATTACACTCTATTCTGTGGTATCACATATTTGCGCTGCACACTATTCTTTTCTTTACATTCACTTTCCTGTGGGATTTTTGTGATTATTCCCACTTAGTGTGTTCTAGCTGCTTTGTCTAGCGCCACGGTTTATACTGCTTTTTTTTCTCTTAATCTTGAATGGCTGTTATACTTTAGAAATCTGGCATGGCCATGCTAGGGGACATGTAAGCCATGTATGTTATTATGCAGGGGGCACGACTAGGTAAAATGCAGTGTCAGAAGTCTGTGAAGCAAATGACCATTCATAGCCTCTTTCTTCGGTTTTCAAGTCAGTCAGTGACATTTGGGAAGTATGGAAAGTGAGAGTGGACAAGGATTAGTTTGGAATTACAGAGATCTTTGTGTTGTAGTTTTTTCATTTTTTTTTGTGGTCATATTAATTTTAAATTTGTCCCGTTGGTTGTTTTAAAAAAAATTTCAAATATGATTTGATAAAATGTGCATGAAAATTAACCAGAATCTGCTTCTCACAGGGGCACTGGCAAAGCAAGCAGATAGATAGATAGATAGACAGACAGACAGGCAGATGCTTTTTATTTTAGAATATGTGTTCATCAGTTATACAAATAACATAATTTATTTATTTTTAAAAAGTATTAGAAGTGTTTTGTTTTTTATTTTTTATTGTTGTTTTTCCCTCAAAGTCATAAACACTTTACCCCTGTAAGGGCCATTATTTAATCCTAGCAAGGTCTTTCTGTATCTCAGCTTGTACAGCAGAATGGCACGTGTGCGGAGGACCTTGGAGAGGGCCACGTCTCTTTAAGTAGCTTACCATGTTGTTTGGAACAGAAGGGCCTACAGGCAAAGACCACGAGTGCCAAGGCTTATCAGGAAAAGGCAGTATGCCAGTCGAAGGAGGAAAGGCATATCAATCGGCAATTTATTCAGCAGTGACTGATCTTTCGCAAAGTTCTTAGCATAATATATATATATATAAAAAAAAAATTGCACTGTATACATCTTACTTGCTTATTAATAGTTATTAAGTTTGAAATACCGTTAAATACTGCTGGTGTCTGATAATGTATTGAAGTATTTAGTTTAAACCAATATAGTTATCCATCTTTAGTTTAAACCAATATAGTTATCCATCTTCTCTTGCTTCTAAATATATCTGTGTGTCTGTGTTCTAATATCTGTAAAATGTAAATTAGGTAAACACAACCTCAGATGAACAACAAGACATGATATATTACTGTAGCGGATCCCCGGGTAACCAGACCAGTTACCTCCGCTAGTTCCCTTCCTTCATCCAATCAGGAACTCTTACATGGTTAGAGGGCTTAGCTATATGTGCTCCCAGGAAGGGATGGCACTCAGTCCTGGAAGCTCTTAGTCCTTATAAGGACTTTCCCCTCTACATCCCTTGCAAGCTGGAACAGCAGACACAGGGGTTAAATCTTCCTCCCCTCCAGTAACTAGACAAGACACAGTTCTGGAGGTACAAACTCTGACCATGTTTCTTTGGAACACACAGCTTTTATGCACAGACGCCCACAGGGGGTCTCCATTCGAAGTAACCCAAAACATAACCCCGCCCCGGCGTCGCTGTGTCTGGGAGATACTCAAGTTCCCTCTTAGGTCCAGAGGGTAATCTCTCCCATAATCCTCTGTGCCTTAGAGATAATAAAGTTTCCTCTCAGGTCCAGAAAAGTCTACTATAGTTCCAAACCCCCAGACACACATTTTAACATTACAAATGGGTTAATTGATTGTATGAAAGAACAGAGCTTACAACCTGAGTTACTCCTTAAAGCTGGGAACTCCAACAGAGCTATTCGGTAAGGTGTGAGAAGTGACACCTAAGTGTCCTGGAAGCCTGGTTTGCCTCTCAGATAGGATGTCCTTTGACATATTAATGCTCATCAGCTTTCAGCAACAAACACCCCCTTGTGTTTCAATATTATATCCAGAATGGGACAATTTGGGCATGTTTTGCAGCCACAGGACCTGGGAACCTTACAAACATTGAGTCCACCATGAACTCCTCTGTATATCAAAGTATTTTACCGTCAAATGTGAGGCCATCTCTCTGACAGCTCAAGCTTGGCCAAAACTGGGTCATGCAACAGGACAAGGATTCCAAGCAAATCAACAAATCTACAACAAACTGGCTGAAAAAGAAAAGAATCAAGGTGTTGCAAGTGCCCAGTCAAAGTCCAAACCTAAACCTGATTGAAATGCTGTGGCAGGACTTTAAGAGTGTTGGCCATAAACAAATGCCAGCAAACCTCGATGAACTGAAGCAACATTGTAAAGAAGAGTGAGCCAAAATGTCTCCACAATGATGTGAAAAACTGATAAAGTTATACAGAAACTGATTACTTCCAGTTATTGCTGTTAAAGGTGATTCTACAAGCTATTGAATCATTAGGCCAATCCAAGTCCTGCAAGTTGCAAGATGGGACCTTCATGGATCAGATTTGTGGTTTCAGCACATCCCACAGATGTTCAGTGGGATTGAGATCTGGGAATTTGGAGGCTAAAGCAACACCTTGACCTCTTTGTCATGTTTCTCAAACCATTCTAGAATAATGTTTGCAGTGAGTTGGGTGCATTATGCTGCTGAAGGACACTTGGGAGGTATGGTTGAGGATCTACCTTTTGGTAACGACTGACATACGGGAAGTAATATATATATGACGGACCCTCACTCCAATATATGAGAATTGTAGGGAATTCAAAGGTAATTTAAAATGTAAGTTCAAAATAGCTGAACTGGAAAAATTATCCCAGTAGGCTATACTTTCAGATCAGGTACTTTGGCCTTTAATATAAAATTCACTTGGAATCACCTGAAATTCTCGCTTTAGTGAATAACCCTGTATATTTTAAAATATTTCTTCATGCCATACGTCCTTATTCAATAAACACTCAAATAGTTAACACAATATTCCCTGCAATATATACCAGCAATGCCTTTTATGTTATTAAGTATACAACCATTAGATGAAAATATAAGTCTATACATTTCCCCCAGACACAAGCCACATTTGGAACGGACGTGTTTATCACAGAAGAATGTCACCGCAGTGTATTATATGATTATGAAAGAGCTCTCAGAACTTGTGTTGTCGGGAATTTTATTGAGCTTTTTGTAAAAGCCTCCTTATATGTCTGACATTTCGCATTGTCTGATCCATCTGACAGGCTCTCCTGAAAGGATGCAATCGCGTCACAAGGCCTGGTTCTCTTTCAATGTCTAGACTCATACCCTAATCCTGTAATAAACATGAGGCCTGAGAAAAATAATTGTAGCTGTTGCTGAAATAACGTCCTTCGTACGTATCAATGGAGGATTTTCATTTTATCTATCGTTCCTTTTTTGCTTTTTTAGGTCACAGGTTCATTAGTAGTTATGTATTTAATCCTTCCAGATTGTACACACCCACATACTCCTATCCTGTGACCTTTTTTGGGGAGCTTAAAGGACCACTCTAGGCACCCAGACCACTTCAGCTTAATGAAGTGGTCTGGATGCCAGGTCCCTCTAGGATGAACCCTTTTTTTTTTTTATAAACTTCAGAGAAACTGCTATGTTTATAAATGGGTTAATCCAGCCTCTAAAGCCGCCAGAGGCGTTTGCGTGCTTTCACAGTGAGAAGACGTCAGCGTCCATAGGAAAGCATTATGAATGCTTTCCTATGAGACAGGCTGAATGCGCGCGAAGCTCCTGCCGCGCATGCACATTCAGCCGAAGAGGAGGATCAGAGGCGGAGAGGAGGTGGAGAGCTCCCTGCCTGGCACTGGAAAAAAGGTAAGATTTAACCCTTTCCTTGCCATCCAGCCCGGCGGGAGTGGGACCCTGAGGGTGGGGGCACCCTCAGGGCACTATAGTGCCAGGAAAACGAGTATATTTTCCGGGCACTTTAGTGGTCCTTTAATATTTGTTTTGTTTATGCTCCACAGCAGTAAAACATACAGTAGTGTGTATTTTAGGTATTAGATTTGTGTTTAATGCAATAAGGCTAGTCCGTCTGGTCCCATCACACAGAAGAACTACTGGAGATAAATACTGGAAATAAAAAAGGAGAAGGAGAACGCCCGACGCGTGTTTCGGCATATAGCTACGCTGTCATAAGGGGCAGAATAAAAAAAAATTTTAATTCACCTTGTTTCACATGCAGGAAGCACCATGCACTTTTGAGTGATTATTCTTTGAGGGTCTCTCAGTGTAGGTAGGCACTAGCTTTGTGCGGTGCCGAGGTAAATACTGACAAGTGTGTGTGCTGACCCTCGCAAACCTTGCCGTTTACTATTTATTCCCACTAGATGGGAACCTTGCTACTAGTTGTGGGCAGTATCAGTGCCCTATGTCCCTTGTCCTCAATAGGTATTTCACTTAGGGGTAGGTAGTGTTCTGTAATTAGGACTTCAGCTCAGTATTTGGAGACCATATTCTACGTAGGGTTTATTTCCCTTGTTTATTCCTAGGATTTCATTCTTCTATCCTTATCTTGGTATGAGCTTGTTACTTCCTACCCCTCCTATATTATTCACCTGCCCAAATATTAGGATAATTGTTTATCTAGTTCACAGATGCACTTAACCATTTTGGTAGAAGAGAGTTCTCTCTCTAGTAGCTCATTTGCCGATATTAATAAATATTTTGGTTGTTTTGTTTGGCTACTAGTGTATTAGACTGGGCTATTTTCCTATTAGCCACGTTCTCTTTGGTAATCTTTATAATTGAATAACTATGCAAGGAGCGGCGAGACACATACCATTCAGCTACTGATATTTGTGTAATGTCACGTGAGACCAGATATATTTGTCAGAACTGGGGACTTGTGTGTCCTACTATGTTAAGCATAAATAGGGGGTTCACTACATCCCGAAGTGTTGTCTAGCCCTTTTAGCTATAAAGATATTAGAAAAAAACACATTTGCTGGAACAAATTCTGCCACTGAATAGGGTTAAATAAAACCTTACATGAGTGTATTTTGCAGTACATGCAATTTGCCATTGATTGACTGCATACATTTCTGTTTATAGATTGTTAGTTTCATTACTTTTAATGACAATACTCACACAGACGCTTTCCGCGTTACACATGGCAGCGTAACCACGCCAACTTGAGTGTGGAACTGATTTCTCCTTACCTCTGTTTTGCGTCTAGCAGCTGCCAATGACAGGTGCTCGTCCTTTAAGGCAGATGGCAACAAAATTGGTATTTTTGGCAGGTTTTACAATTTCCTTTGACATCACACACACACACTGTGTATACAGACATAAACGCAAATGAGCTGTATGACAGTATAATGGGAAATCTGTTAACCAGCCCTTCGTACATTCACACAGCTCGTCTTTATTCATGATAACTAAAGTCCGTCAATCAGGACGTGTGTTTTTCTAGATAAAGCCCTTTTCGGGTGAGTCGCAGAGGATTCTCGCCTTCCTCACATAAAGTGCGGTTTAAATGTTCCCTCGGCAAACTCAGGATAGATATACAAGAAATATCAAACACACTCTGTGTTATATTTTTTTTAAATGTGTGTATATCTCCATAGGTGTGTGTAGCAAATTGCATTAGGATGTACACCTGGAGAAAATTACTAAAATCACAAAATTTAAAGAATTGCGCTACAAAATACATATTTTTATTCTGCATAACTATGTAAATACAGAGCCAGATTAATGTTGCCATGGACTTGAAGCATCTCTGTTTCTGTGAGTGTAAGAGCCTATTTAGTGGCTGAGTGTTGTGTGTGTGGATGAGGCTGAAAGCTGTATGGGCGGTGGCTAAGTTTGCCTGTGTGTCTAGCATAATGTACTTGTGTATGTGCCTGATCATCCTTGTGTGTGTCTGTGTCCGGAAGTGTATGTGTGCGGGTAGTTGCTTGCATTGTGTTGTAAGGGAGGCTGCTCGTGGTCTTTGTGTGTTGTGTTTATGGTGAGGCTGTGTTTCAAATGGTGACTGTGCTTGACAATCACTATTGTCAGGGGTGAATGTGATAAGGTGAGTAGGGGGTTGACTGTTAGGTTAAGTGTAAAAGGGTGAGGGGTGTGAGTGTGGCAGGCTGTGGAGCTGAGTATGACAAAGTTTGGGGGACTGGTGTGAAATGGTGGGGGATGAGTGTGAGAGTAGGGGGCGACATACACAAATGCAACCTAACACACTCAAACGTTGATACATGCCCACACCATGACACAGATACACACACTGACATAAAAACACACATGCACACATATGCACATACACAGATGTGTGCGCAGACACAGAAGCACACTGACATATATATATACAAACACTCACTCATACTCACACACTCATACTCACAGATACACTCATACACATACACACACTCATACTCACACTCCTCTCCCCTCACGCTGCAGCTGCCTCCTCTCCCTCCCATGCTGTCTCCCAGCAGGACGCTGGAAGGAAGTGACAGGCTGTCACTTCCTCCCAGCCGGCCAACATTACAGGGGCCCCGTCGCGATTTTAAAGGACTGCGGCACCCAACCAGGCCCCTGTTCAGTAGTAATGTTTCCCCGGTGCTATAATCATAGTACCGGGGAAACATTCTGCGTCACCCCTGTGTGCACACAGTTTGGGAACCGCTGTTGTAGATGAATGTTTTTTTATTTTTGGCATCTTCATTCAGAGCGTGGAGATACCGTACATCCTACTAAGACTGCAGGACCGCACCAGGAAGCCCCTCTAGTGGCTCTCTGCGTGACAAACACTAGAGGTGGACTTAGAAAGCCATGTAAACACTGGCTTTTCTCAGAAAAGGCAGCATTTACATTTTTGAGACTGCAGGTACAGTCTCCTTGCACCGGAACCACTTTGTTAAGCTGTAGTAGTTCTGGTACTAAGAGAGTCTCTTAAACGCATACCCCCCAACATTATGATGTAACAAATCAGGAAAGTGGATGACCCCAATGGGGTGGTTGGTTGGCGTGGTTTAACTAGAGATCTATAAACTGAGACACAAAAGTGGTTTAAAGGAACACTATAACATGTATCCTCAGTTGGAGTGGAGAACAGCCACTTAAAGTGTGTTATACCTGGCATGGAAACATTGCATTTTCTATAAAGCTGCAATGTTTTACAGGATACAGGATCACTGCACCAAAACCACCTCACTGAGATGAAATGATCTCAATGCCTTTGGTCGTCCGTCAATCCCTAAATGGCAGAAAATTGAGCAGTGAGATTGCAGGGGCATGATCTATACACCATAACTACTTCGTTAAGCATATATATACAAAATAAATATATATTATATATATATTGGCTTTATCAGCTAATTGTTCTGGTGCACAGAGTCCCATTAAGTTTTATAGCATGGAAATTGTAGGCACTGAAGTTAGCCCATTTAAACAATTAGCAAGTTGTCGGTAACACTTGCTGACACCAATGGAATTGAATCTTTTTTTGCCAGATCAACACAGGAGGACATGAATTGAACCTGTTGTCTGTATATTTTCTCAATGATCAGAGAACACATTAGATGCATTTTTTCATTCACATAAGCTGACATTGACAAATTGGCTGCTTAACTTTATATCAGTGCAAAATGATATATGATTGAGTACAGATTATTTCCATTGGTGTTACTTTAGCATGGAACACTGCTATTGCCCTTCTTTTTAATCTCCCTCCTTTTAATTTTGCTGTTCATTTCAAGAAATTACCAGGCTAACACAGTCAAATAAGTAGGACATCTGGCTCCATGACTGATGCCAAGATACTGCTGCTTCAAACCTGGCATGTAGAGCACTCCGATGGGATCTTGGAAAATGTGTGTTTTCAGGAAGAGCTTTTGGGGAGTTTGGGGATTTGAAGAGGAAATGAGGTTAGTCTTGATTGACAGGGACAGTTGTGATGCTGCCAGAATACAGTATGCCCATATTTGTGGTAGCATTATGCCTTCAATGTAAGACAGTTTTTTAAACAAGAACTATTTCTCACTAATTCTGCTGAATTAATACCCCATTCTATCTGGAACATTGATGTCCAGTCCCATAATGCTTAGTGTAATTTCCCAGAATGCAGTGCCCACGCTCTCACAGATTGAGTTAGATAGAGCCATGAGCACTGAATTTAATTACTAATTTGTCCCCTCCACTTCTCACCAGTTTGGCTTCTATATGCATAAAACATAAAGCTTTTTTCACATATGTTGTGGAACACTCTTTTTTTTACAACCATGGAATCCTGACATTCAGTTTGGGAAGTATAGGGTCAATGTCAGGAAATGAGTTGAGTCAGTACAGGCTTTGGGTGGATTAAATGTCCTATATGATGTCACTATGAGGCACCAGGAAGCTAGGGATGAGTGCTTGTGCATCAAAACACAGAAGAGGCATCACCGTGATCGCACCGTGCAGTGAGGGACAGTTATTATGACATGTCTTCAATCCATTGTTGGTAATATGTACACCACTTGAACAATACGCCGAGGTTTCAACTATGTACAAAACACATTTAAGTCTAAGATTCATACAATTATTGAATACCAGAACAGACTTTCAGTTCTTAGCAGATAGGTATGGACAAGATATCTCATAGGGGCCCATCAAGTGACCAATTTCCTATTATGAAACATTTTCGTATCTACTGAACACCAGTATCCCTCCTCAAAGATTCTTAGAGGTGCTGGAGGCCCGAATGTGGGGCTCTATAGACCCAGATCCTTTTGTTGTTTACCTTCTCTGCTCTCTGTCTCCTCGGTGAGTCTATGAGTTGGTCGGGAGTGGAAGCAGCGCAGTGATAGAAACACATGTTAGTGTCATATTCCCTGTGTGTCTCTCTCACTACGCTTCTTCTGCTCCCTACTGAGCCTCTCTGAGGAGAATGGGCACAGCAGGCATGTAGAGCAGAGTGGCCTGGCAGCAGAGGAGACCAGGTAGACTAATGAAGCTGCTCTGTTGGTTCTCCTGGTTTTCTCAGCTCTGATGCTATGGTGCAAGGCATGGCGGTGTGATAAGGCTTCATGTTTGCAGAAGTGTATTCCTGCACCTGCAAAACAACCTGACCAAGAGCAGTGAGACCAGGGAGGCAAGTGAGGTAACTGGCAGGGTTTGGGGATATAAAGAATACTGGATGTAGGTACATACATCTGGATGGTGTACCAGTGTTTAAAAGAGTAATGGGCAGGCAGTTACAGGGTAGGTGGAAGGGTTGGGAGAGTGAGCTGCGGATGGTGAAAGGTGAGGTACCAGTACAGTGGAAGGGATACAGGAGGATGGAAAGGGGTAGATGGGATGCAGATGGAATGTGGACTGGAGGGGAATGGGCAGAAAATGTACAGAGTACTGGACAGATGGGATACAGAGTAAGGGGATCTGTGTGTAGGCACCACAAGTGCAAATAGACGGGATGGTGGGATACAGAGGGTGGGAATCTGGGAGAAAGATTCACAGGTGCGACCAGTGGTCCTTCTGAAACAGTGACTGGCTAGCTGCTTTTACCTTAACCATACTCCAAGGTACAGAAACATATTGTTTTATTGTGTAAATGAATGCCTGTGTATATGTATGTACCGGTCTGTTACTTTGTGCCTATCTTTGACTGTGTGTAGATGTGTGTGTCGATCCCTGTATGTGTTGGTGCCTGTACCTCTGTGTGCTTGTGCATGTCTGTGTGTCTCACACTCAAGTAATTAAGAGTGTGCCAAGAGGTGTGTTACGTGGTGGGATTATAGAGGGGCAGGGGTGGGGTTTTGATAAGGGCCAAGGATGGGGCTTTATGAAGGAATCACCAAATTACTTTAGACTCAAGTCCACTACTCCAGCATTCTCACCATATTGTGACCACAAGACTCTAAACTAGAATTCTTACTAGCTCCAGACCTCCAGTCTCTTTCCGCTTCTCTGATTACCTTTCTCTCCCCCAATTAGGATTCTTATTACCTTCCCGTAACCAGTCTCTCTCCACTAGGGTTCTTACTATTATTATTATTGTTGTTTATTTATCTCCAGCGTATTCCACGTTGATTTACAATTATAGAATGGGGATAATATTTGACCACCAGTTTCTCTCCACAGGGATTCTTACTAAATGTTGAGCTCCAGTATTACTCGACTAGTATTCTTACCATATTCTGACCACCATTCACTTTCTATTAGGATTCCTACGATTGTCTTAACATCGGTCTATCTTAAGTAGAAGCAAGTATACCAACTAATCTGCAGTCTCTCTTCAAACTATCTTCTGAAGACGCGTCTCAACAAAGATTCTTATGATCTACTGGCCTCTAGTCTCTCTTCAGCAGGAGCTTTTTACATCAGTCTGTCACAGTTCTAGGAATTTTGCCATCACCTAAATCAAGTTTCTCCACACTCTAGGTTTTTTTGTTTCTGTCTACTGAATACCACAATAGGATCAATATTGTTTACTGAATATAAGTCTTCCTTAAGTCTAGTGTTCTATTTACTAAACATGTGTCTCTCTTCACCTGAATTCCCATTTACTGAATCATGTGTTTACATGAATGTTCTGTCTCCAATGTACCTTCTCCAAGAATGTTCTGTTTCTTTCAGGGTTACTTGTCTCAGTATTCTGCTTACACTTAGAAATGCATGACATTTTTTGCCCAAGACAATTGCATTGAATGATGATATTAAGAACCATTAAGAAACATATTGTTTAATTTGTCAGTGAAGTTATCAAGACGTATCCATTGTTTAACAAATTTCTTCTGTGCTATTTTTCTGCTTTTGCTATGCGATGAAAGGTTATATCATCATCTTGGCAGATTTCACAATTATTCCTCAGAACTCAGTTGATGGCCTTGGTTGAAGAAATAAATTCTCTATATTGAAAATCTGTTCACGCTGTCTGAGCACCTGGTCTAGCCTGTTCATTTTGTACTTTTATTAAACAATAAGAGAGAGCTTTTATTAGCCTGCAGTGGAAGTATAACTGCTGTGAGAACCATTACACCTAAATGAGTCATCCAAAGTGACATCATATCATCCTTTTGCCGTAATGTCACAAACCGTGCAGCGGGATCTTATATTCCCAGCCGTGAGCTCAGGGAGGACAACGTATCAATCCCTTCAATACAGAGAGTACAAACAATGTACATAGAACTCACAACGACAAAGAAAGTGCTGTCTTGGTACACAGTGTTGCACATCGAAAGGTTGTATCACCATTATCTATGCAATATCACATCTTACTATAGAAAATAGGTCATTTGAGGCAATCCTTAGTATTGCAATTTCAGAAAAAATGTGAGCTGGGCAGAAATTTGTAGAGCCATCTGTCGGAAAATCTGTTTATGTTTTTCTCCATGTCTCTCTGAAGGTGGGGGGTATTGATTTGTACCATTTTAAAACACATATCGGAAGAGGGTATTCAAACCTCGGGCCATACCATACACTCTCTGTAGACTACATAAGTTCAACGCCTTATGAAAAGAATGATAGACAAACACATCCAACCGCAGTCCATCACACACTATCTTTCAAAAAGAAAATGGGCCAGTGGGTTAATCTGACCTGAATACAAATTATGGCGACACAGGATTTTTACGAAGCTGTTATATTTCTTTACTCTCGGGTGCATGTTTTTCTACATTTGACATTGGCTCTTTTCTCACAACCATTGTTAATGTTTTATACTTCTGTAACAGATGAAAAGATGTAATAATGAGTCTCTTGGCATTGAAGGTCCTGTGCTGCATTTCAGGACATGATTGTTTTGGCACTTGCCCCCCCCTTTCTCCAACACATACACAGAGTGCCACATGTGAATATATTGTACATCTGTATATACCATGAATCCCAGCACGGCGACTGATAGGTCTAAGACATCTGGTTGTCTTTCATCAATGAGCTGAAAGTTGGCGTTTTGCCCGCGGTCATATCCCGACACATCTGCAGCTTCTGCTCTGTTCCTAATTTGCTACTAATTAATGTAGAGCCACGTTCATGTTAGAGTTTGCAAAACAGAAACATATATTGTAATGGCAAAACAAACCCAGCCTACTCAAGGTAAAACCCATATTATTGTTCGTTACCGTTAAAACCTTTTTTTATTGCTTATACAATGTATCCATGGTATCTTCTTTCTGTGTATCCCTGGAGTGTTATACATTTTTATATTCAACATGATAGTTCTGATAGAACCAGTCCAGAAGATCTGTCTTGCTATCTTTATGGCTCATTTTTCACACAGGAGAACTTGTACTGCATCTCTGTATATGATAGATCCTTAGTAAACACCCTACCTGCCACTAATTTTCAAGTATTCACCCCCCACCCCTTCCCACCTTAGTTGATTCCACAAAGTGTAACATTTTGTAGTTGTAGTCCTGCAGAACCAATGCAGGACAGTGCTCATTGGCTGAGAACCTCCAGGTGACGCTCTCAGCCTATAACTGTGGGCTAAAGAGACACCCAGGTAAGTTGTCAAATTGTTCTAAATAGCTCCAGCAAGCTGTAGTGGTTATGATGATTGGAGTGTTCCTTTAAATTGCACTTTATTTTGGATTTTTCTGTTTTATTTACACACTTTGTAATTTCACAAAATGTTATTGTGACACAAGGGTTAATGTAAAAAAATCTTGCTTACAGAAATTTCAAATTGTAAACGCTCTATACATATTTGTTGTGGATAAATCTGACAGTTTTAAATGTTATGTATTGACTAGAATATACAGAACTGTAAATGGGTAGTGCTACATCTGTAAACAGATGTTAATGGGCGCAGTGAAACGTGCTGGTAATTGGGCACGATGTGTTAATGATTTGTTCATTCCTAGGCTTCGTGAAGTTTTGACCTGAAATGACTTACATTACTGCCTTGATTCTGTTTTATTCTTAGGAACTAACCAAGAAGGGTTTTGGAGAAATTACTACGGAAATCCGAGAAGAAACAAACTTTTACTACGCCGAAGATTATCATCAGCAGTACCTCAGCAAGAAGCCCAACGGTTACTGTGGTTTGGGTGGCACTGGTGTCTCCTGCCCTATCGGAATTGAATAGCTCCTACCTATACACATGAATTAGTGTCAGGTTGAAAGACCACTAGGATCTGCAATCCCTTACGGAAAACCCTGATTTACCACAAATTCTAAATGTTTTATATTAATGTAATTGTTACAGAAAAAATATCTTAATGCTTGCGAGAGGTCCTTTATATTCTTTTATGTGTCAGACCTCATTTTAGGGTGATTTGAGTAAAATGCTATTATATTATTGTGGCAATATTTTGATTCCTTTTCCCCTTGTTTATAAGGGAACTACTGTTGTTAATTAAGTTGAAATTTTGAAATAGTAAAATAATATTTTAAACGAAAAGCATCATGCTGTGCCCTTAAACAATGAATTAAATAATCTGCTTGATTTTAAGCAAAATGTTAAAAATTCTGTGATTTTTGGATTCTAGTTATGATCTTTTTTTATTTGATTTGATACGTTTGTCATAGTCTGGGCAAAACTTTTCCAACATAACATTTAGCACTACCTACTTATTTTATCGATACATTTCACATGGATGCTCTTTGTCTCCTATGGACATACGTTCCTGGCCGGTAACCCATTCAACTCCCATATTGTTCGGAACAGATTATCTAAGATGATTGACCTCATTACAACTTTTAGATGTTGGTAACGGTGCACAGTGATCTTTATCTAATTTCAAGGATTTGGGATGGATGTCAGTGAGGAGCACCAGATCGAATTGATTGTTGAAATGACGTATGGTTACTATCCCAAGCAGCGTACAGCTGGAATATTGACAAAGCTAAACTGCAGTGGGTGCCCAGCTCTGCTTACATTGCAAAATGGGACAATAATGATATGTCTGCAATAGGAAAATATGTGTAAATCCCTATGAGTTTTATTAAATGTATCCTACTTGAACATAGATACAGGAAGCAGGGGGATGGAAGGGGTGAAAATGTAGTGTTTAAAACATATTTTAAAGGAGTTGGTTATCTTCTCCTTTTAACGTTAAAAGAATTACATTTCAACAAGAAAATGCAAAAATATAAGAAAAAGACCTTTATTAAATAAAAAAAATTTTTAAACTATATATATAAATGTATATGTTGAGGTCAGGTAGCTTATTTAGATCTATATCACATTCCACTAAAAGGCTCCGCTATTACAGTTATAATTGTATCTATAGAAAAGCACATCATTTAACATTATCTCCCTAAAGACCACATATCTGTTATGAAATGCAGTCTACCCCCAGATTTTCTTTCGTTCCTAAAATGTATTGGAATATAATGCGTTAGTATGTGAGTGTGTCTTGATCGTCTAAATAAGGAGTATCTGGAAAGCGCTGTTTTAAAATCTAAAGATGGAGTTAAATAATGAACCTCCCAAACATTGCAAACCAACATAATAACTAGCATCAAGGGAGATAAACAATATCAAACAGGACACACAGGGCTATTTCTCCATAAGCAAAGCGTAAAGCAGACTCACTGCCCCCTGTCTAACTGCTCTGGTATTGCACAGGATAAGGACATTTGACCATGCTGTGACGGCTGTGTATGTTCGGCCAGCTCTCAGTTCCTGATGGTACGATGAACTAAGTGATGGAGAATGAAGTTCCACTAACACTCACATACAATGCTAGGGGCCATCTCAGGCAAATGGCTGCCACAGGCTCAAACATGTAATAAGAAACATAGAATGTGACGGCAGGTGTGGAATTAATTCACATTTTTAGGAGATGCTCACTCTGTTTTGTTTCTATAGAAAGGAAGAAGAACAAGAAAATTAGGGATAGAATGATGTGACAGGTAGTTTCTCCAGAATACTCTGGTGGTACAACTATCGTATATGTTAACGCTAGGGAAGGACCACTTCTCCATTAGTGGATTGTCGAGAGCACATCATTTTTACAGAGAGAAGCTTTTTTCTTTTGTAAATATTTTATATGACTTATTTCTGACCCTCGTGCTTTCAGCACACTGATGCATCATTAAAGAAAATGTAACACGTTAATCGTTCCGTTACCGCCCACACTAGCCTTGCTTATAAATACTTCAGTAGTTTACAAACTGAATACGAATCGTCTGATGAAACAATCTGATACAACATTCTCTTTTAAGGTTCCGAGCTTCACCAAGTTTTCTCAACCTAATTAGCGCTGAAACTGTCAGGCTTACTGGCCGCATACCTCCCGCAGATGCTCAGAGTGCCGCGATCCCCTCTGGCATTCCTTGTATAAGTATGCACCTGAATAAACTACCGCATTCGGCATTCGCTGAATCGAACGTGGAATTCGGTAGACCGAATTTGGCGCATGAAAATAGTGGTCAATTCCAAATGGAAAAGGACCAATCAGGTGTAATTGATGCATATATATATACTTACCTTACATAGAAACATAGAAACATAGAATGTGACGGCAGATAAGAACCATTCGGCCCATCTAGTCTGCCCAATTTTCTAAAAACTTTCATTAGTCCCTAGCCTTATCTTATAGTTAGGATAGCCTTATGCCTATCCCATGCATGCTTAAACTCCTTTACTGTGTTAACCTCTACCACTTCAGCTGGAAGGCTATTCCATGCATCCACTACCCTCTCAGTAAAGTAATACTTCCTGATATTATTTTTAAACCTTTGTCCCTCTAATTTAAGACTATGTCCTCTTGTTGTGGTAGTTTTTCTTCTTTTAAATATAGTCTCCTCCTTTACTGTGTTGATTCCCTTTATATATTTAAATGTTTCTATCATATCCCCCCTGTCTCGTCTTTCCTCCAAGCTATAAATGTTAAGATCCTTTAACCTTTCCTGGTAAGTTTTATCCCGCAATCCATGAACCAGTTTAGTAGCCCTTCTCTGAACCCTCTCTAAGGTATCAATATCCTTCTGAAGATACGGTCTCCAGTACTGTGTACAATACTCCAAGTGAGGTCTCACCAGTGTTCTGTACAATGGCATGAGCACTTCCCTCTTTCTACTGCTAATACCTCTCCCTATACAACCAAGCATTCTGCTAGCATTTCCTGCTGCTCTATTACATTGTCTGCCTACCTTTAAGTCATCAGAAATAATCACCCCTAAATCCCTTTCCTCATATGTTGAGGTTAGAACTCTATCAAATATTCTGTACTCTGCCCTTGGGTTTTTACGTCCAAGACGTAATTCCGTGTTGCCCTGTTGTGGTTTCTTGATAGTTCCTCTTGTATTTCTTGGTAAATTGTTCTGGCTCTCATCTACGTTTATCCTGTCCTCTGTTATCCATTGACCTTGGCTTGTTTAAATCGTATTCTCTGATCTCTGTACTCCTTTGATGCCGGCTTGCTATACCTACTCTGTTTGTTCGTTTAACCCGGCCATTCTAAGGACCGCTATAACAGACTTTTTCTTTTAGGGATTCCTGACATTACAACAGGACCATATAGATTATGGAACCTACAGACGTGTCACAGCAGTTGGCCATTTGTGGCGCAAAAATGGACGGTATTGATCACTGCATGGATCAATTCACCCAGTCCTTGCAGACGATCTTAGTGCGTACTGCGCATTTACAGCCAGACGCACAGGACAAAGCTGTTAAGAGTGTTTTCTGTTCCTGAACCCGTCTCTGGAGTACCAGCACACACCTGTGGCTGCTCACTGTAAAAAACAAAAAAAAAGCCCCCCGCCCTCTTTCAACAAGTGGCTCCATGGTGGGGCATCTATTAACTAGCGGGGGGGACATAGTGTCCCCCACCCATGCCCCGCGAGTGGGAGCCCTAAATGAAAAAGTACCCCCCCTGCCCCCACCCATGAGCATCGGTTGGGGGCCCTAAATGAAAATGAGGGGAGAGACACCTATGGTCCTGCCCCCCCTCATCCTAAAAATAGTGAGGGTGAGACAATAAAACTAAATACCTGTAAATAAAAAAAATACTTACCATTTCATGTCTTCTTTTTTTGACATAGTGTCTCGCGAGTGGGGGCCCTAAATAAAAAGGGGGGGACCTATGAGCAGCGGGTGGGGGTCCTAAATGAAAATGAGGGAGGAGAGGACATCTATTGTCCTCCCCCATCCATGGGCAATGGATGGGGGCCCTAAATGAAAAGGGGGGACCTATTGTCCTCCTCCCCCTACCTCCACACAGGGTCGACAGGTGGGACCCCTAAATGAAAATGGGGGGGACCTATTGTCCCCTATTGTCCTCCCCCCCACCCCCACCCATGAGCGGCTGGTGGGGGCCCTAAATGAAAATGAGGGAGGAGAGGACATCTATTGTCCTCCCCCATCCATGGGTAATGGGTGGGGGCCCTAAAAGAGGGGACCAATTGTCCTCCCCCCCGCACCCACCCATGGATGACGGGTGGGGGCTAAGTGTAAAAATACCCCCCCCCCAGTGACTAGGGGTCCCCAAGACCCTAGTCTCCCCCTGCACCCCAACCGGGTACCTCTGTCAATTGCTGCTTCCTAGTACTTACGAGTACCATCTGCACTGCACTGCACTGAAACCCCACGAACAGCTGCAGCTTGGTTGGGGTCTCGCCATCCTCCACCCACCCTGGACCCAAGACCAGGATCCAGCTTCCAGTGGGTAAGCCTCTCTTAGTCCAGAGAGCGTAGCAGGAACAGCTCTTACAAGAGCTAGTGATAATACTCAGGGGAGTATAGTGATTATAGCAATCCCCAGAGTGTAATGCTCCAATCCCCCAAACATGAGCCGAAACTTCATGAAGGTGCAAGATGATCTGAGGGTTTAATGGTACAGGTTGGATTTTTATACAACTTTTCAGGCAAGCGGAACACCCACTGGACCTGACGGGGCACAGGACACAAATTGTACAGACCAATAGAAACAATGTAACAATGCCTGACACTTCCACATACAGCACACAATCCCTCCCTCTGCCTGTGATGCCATTAAGGTAGATAATGTATAAACTTAATTATCCCCAAGCATAAAAAACACATATTTTACAAAACTCCAAAAGTACCTCAAAACACAACATATTTCAACACATCTCCCGATAACCCTGATCTGGGTGAACAACATATCCAAAAACGTACCCAGATCAGAGCAGGGGTTCAGGAAATTCCTGGAAGTCTTATTTTTGACCTACCGTGCACATGGTCCCATGCCTAAAACAGTTCTAGAGAATTAGGGCTAACAGTCGGTCTCTCTGTCTGGAGTACAAAAGTACATACTTCACATGAACAGAGCCTTTTAAAGTGGATTGGGCAAGGTGTATTGCAGGGCCCATAGTCCTGCGGCAATAGGCTGGCCAGCAGGCCCCTCCAAGAACCCGTGACGAGGTTCAGTTCGTCACAGGGACATAATCACAGGGAAGGAGGCTGGCAAACAGGCCCCTCCAAAAGCCAGTGACGAGGTTACTTTTGTCACACCCGCCACCCAAATAAAATTAAATAAAGCTCTACCTACCCCCCTC